TTTTTTTTTTTATATATAATAACAACCCCCCCCCCCCCCCCCCCTTTTTTTTTTTTTTAGTTACAAGACATATACAAAAAAAAAGGGTGTGCGGGCGGGGGGGGGCTCCGCCGCCCCCCCCCCCCCCCCCCCGCCCCCCTGGTGCGGGGGAGCAAAAAAAAAAAACAAATTCTTTTTTTTTTTTTTGGGCCCCCTTTCCCCCCCCCCCCCGGGGCTTTTTTTGGGAGGGGGAAGGGGAAGCCGACGGGGACGGGGATGGGGGGGACGGGGGTGGCAATCGGGATGGGAGAGGGGGGAGGGGGGGGGGAGAGAGAGAGAGAGAGATGGGGATGAGAGAGGAGGGGGGGGGAGAAGAGGGGGGGATGGACGGGAGGCAGGCTAGTGATCGAGGGCTAGCGACGGGACGGAAGGACGACTGGGCGGGGAGGAGAACGGATGGGGTAGGGGAAAGAAGGAGATACAGGGAGATTCATTGGGATAGAGTGAGGGGGGAGGGGGAAGAGGCAGATGAGGGAGGGCAGGAGGGAGGGTATCGGAGTGGACGTGGAGTACTACTGTAACCGATTTTTTTCCTCTTGCCCACGAATTAAACAGAACAGCAGGTGTTGGAAGATGGAAGGCGCGGAGAGTCGAATGACGGGACGATGAGGCTACGAGAGTGAGCATGGGTGTGAGTGGGGCAAAGCATTGAAGCTGTAGCCTGCCGCTTCGAGCGGGTCGCCTCCCACTGACCTGTCTCGTCTCGTAAAAGGTTGGAGGCTTTGATCTGGCCAGAACCTGCACATCCACAGCCATCTACCGCCAGCAAAAGCCGCATGCTGACAAGAGCAGTAAGCCACGTCGATGGCACGTACAAGCAACGCGCTCCGTGGTCTGATGGTGAGGCGGCAAGTGTGGTGCAAGCTGACCCAGTTGCCGTGACATAGTCAACATGACCGTCCATTTTATGATCTCGCTGATCTCCATTCTCGTCGGTTCCTCACGCACCTTCGCGCCCCCCTCCTAGTCATCGCCAGCACCTCGCCCTTCACCACCCACACCATCCCAAAGCTCGCATCAAGCACCACCTATAGCCATCTCGAACAGTATCCGATGTTTGTATAGCGAGAGTAGCAGCCTGCGTGCGTCGCTGCTCCGTTGACGAATCCGGCGGCAGCCAACGGACGAGTGACCGGCGAGCAGCGTGCGGGGCTGTCTGACGGGGCCGACGACGACAAGCAGACGTCACTCGGGGCCGACGGAGGCGCAGTGCGGCAATGGAGCAACGGCGACCCCTTCCAACCATTGGAGCAGGCGAGGGAGCGGAGCAGGGGACGGCGACGGTGACGGGGCCAGGGACGGGGACGGTGACGGTGACGGCGACGGCGACGGCGACGGCGACGGGGACAACAGCAACACCACCACCACCACCACCACCACCACCAGCAGCAGCAACGACAACTTCATCGTCATCATATGCGTCATCGTTGACATTGGCAGCTGCAACAACATCAACGACTGCAGCAACAGCGGAGACGTCAATGGTGGCAGCCGCTGATGATGGTCTGGGCTGGGAGGGCGGTGGAGCGGCGATGGAGGGAGTCCTGGTGGCTTTTGATGCTCAGCCGCTGCACCGCCTGCTGAGGGAGATGCGAAGAGGTATGTTGGCGAGGGCGAGGGCGAGGGCGAGGGCGAGGGCGAGGGTGCGGGCGAGGGCGCGGGCGAGGACAAGGACGAGGACTCACAAGGGCACGCCATGCTACGCGATGGCTGCGATCACTACCTATCCCTCCCCCAACCCGCAGTCATCTCGACCCAGGCGCACGCTATCCGCTCGCTTCAGTCACAAGTGACCGAGCTCGCATCCAGGCCCTCCCCTGCCCCTGCCCCTGCCCCCATCACACCATCGCCCCCATCCCCATCCCCATCCCCTTCCCCATCTCCATCTACATCCCCATCCCCATCTCCCTCTCCTCGCCCGGCCCCCATCCCCTCCAACCCCACTATCATCCCTTCCACTGCCACCACAGCACCGGCCACCACCCAGACTCGGACTCCTTCTCCTATACCCGAGCCCCAAATCGACCTCTCCATCTACGCCACCCATGCTGCGACCGACAAGCTGGCGTCACAGCTGCGCTCGCTTGATGCCCGTCTCTCTGCGCTGGAGATGTCCGACTCGTCGCGGAAGGAGCAGGCGGCCGAGCTGGAGAGCCAGCTCATCTCGGTCGTTGCGACTACAGAGTCGATGCGGGCCACCGTCGCGTCGTCGCAGTCCCAGATGGAGTCCAAGCTTCAGGCGCTGCGCGCCTTTGAGTCCAACCTCTCGCGCTCCCACGCCGCCATCATGGCTCTCGAGCACTCGACCTCGCGCCTCCGTGACGATGTCACTGCTCACCGCTCCGAGCTTGACTCGCTCTCGGCCCAGGCCGCCCTTGCTGCCGCCGTGCCATCCTCCGTAACCGCCGCTGCGGCGCCGCAACCCGGCACTGAGCCGATGGCTCAGCCGCTGCCCTCGGTCGGCCTGGCCACCCTCGACTCGAAGCTCCGCTCTGCACTCTCGCGCATGTCTCGAACCGAGGACGAGCTGTCGCGGACCCGTGGCGATCTCGACGCGCTATCGGCCACTGTGGTCGCACTGCGCGATGCGCCGCCGGCGCCCGCCACGTTGGCCGCTGCGCCCGCAGGCGTTGCCGCCACGGACCCGCCCGAGTCGGCCGCCCTCGTCGCCGCCACCCTCACCCTCTCGTCCAAGATCCGCGACATCTCCGGCGAAGTCGCCGCCGTCCGCCGCCATGCTGATGCTGGCCTCGCCGACCAGGATCAGCGGCTCAACGCCCTGGCCCGTCGCATGGTCCAGAACGAGCGGACTGTCGCCGCCGCCAAGGGCCAGACCGCTGTCGTCTCCGCCAAGCTCGAAAGCCTCCACAGCGCCAACCTCCCCTCGCGGGTCACAGCCCTCGAAGACCACGGTACCAAGGCCGAGACCCGCATCGAAGTCGTCTCTGAAGACATCGCCACTCTTCGCCGTACCTCGCAATACCTCCTCCACGAGAACGCCAGTACCAAGTCGGCGCTCGACGATCTCGCCGACGCGCGGCCCTCGGCCACAGCCCCCGATCTCGTTACTGCCTCGCTCCGTGACGCACTCGCCTCGCTCCGCCGCGATCTCTCGCAGCTTGCAACCGGCGTCGTCGCCCTCAAGCACGCCGTCGAGAACCCACCCGATCCCGACGACGCTGCCGCTCCGCGACCGTACATCCCCACACCGCCGCCGCCGCCACCGCTCCCGTCGTCGCAGCCTGACGCCGACAAGTTGCCGCCCCGCGAGCCGGCGCCCGACGCCGCGCCGTCCGATGCCTCGCCGCCGAGCTCACAGACACACACTCCGAACTCGGGCCCATGCGCACATCCTCGCGCCGCGGCTCGGCCATCGCCTCGCCAGGTCTCGACCCGTCGTTCCTCAAGCGAGTCGTCTCGCCGTCGGCAGCTTCGCTCGCCGCCGCCCGCGACGCCGCCCGCGACGGCTCGCTCACCCCGCGGACTGGCCTACCACAGCGCACCGCGCTCTCCCACACTCGGCTCGAGCAAATGGTCGCCGACCAGGCCCGCGCCGCGTCTGAGGAGGCGCTCTCCGATCTCAAGACAATGCTCCTCACCCTCGTCGCCGACCGCGCCGACCTGCCCACTCCCGGAAGCTCAGCTCCACCGCCTGATCCGCTCTACAAGCTCGCTACTCTCCTCGGCACACAGCCGTCGTCTGACAAGGCTGCTACGCCCACCTCCGCCACCGCCGCTACAGCCACCACCACCACCACCACGACCACGACGACCACCCACTCGCTCACCCACACCGCGCTCCTCACCAGGTCGTCCGGCGGCGGGCTTGACGCCGTTGAAGCTCGCAACCTCGTCCGGGTCATCGACGCCAAGGCCGACAAAGATTACGCAGACGCCATCTATCACAACCTCTCCTCCAAGTTTGTCCAGCTTGCCACCGTCGCCTCGCGGAACATCGAGATGCTTGCCCATCTCGTCGGCCGCAAGGCTGACCTCGCTGACCTCGTCGACGTCGAGTCGTCACTCAACGAGACTCTCGCTGCCGCCACCCGCGCCTCGTCGGGCTCGGCCGCCGCCGGCAAGCTCCACTTCCGCTGCCTCACCTGCAACCGCTTCACCCGCCGCCTCGCCGGCGACGCCACCGCCGCCCATCGCTCCGCCCTCGTCCCCACCCCGCCGCACGAGCCGCCTCACCCCCGCCCGCGCGGCCATCCCATCATCCAGCCCTTCTCGGAGCGGACCCAAAAGTCATAACCATTACAGCGCAGCACACAACCAACAAACTACTCTTTACAGTCCCTGAAGATAGAACTCCCACGGCGGCATGCCGTCGGCCCGGATGGACAGCTTGCCGTTGCGGAGGCCGCCGGCAGCAGTCTTGTACCCGACGCTCACGCTGGTGCTCTTCTTGGAGCTGAGCACCTCGCCAGACTTGACGGTAAAGCACGGGTTGTCGACCTCGTACACAAACGAAGTCGACTCGGCAAAGACATTCTTGAACGGGATCGACACCGAACCGCCGCTCTTGATGCTGATCGGGCCCTGTGGGACCGGCGGCGTGCAGTGGCCAAACAGCGGGACCACGTACTCACCGGCATCGCGCGAGCTGAGCTTGAGCATTGCCTTGGCATCTCCAAGCTCACCGGGTTCATACACCACCTCAAACGCGACCGGGACGCCGGCGCTTGTTACCGCGCTGCCGCCGGCCGACGGGCCGGCGCCGTCGGGCGCCGCCGGCGCGTGCACGCTCTTCGGCACCGAAAAATCCTCAGAGCCCGAGACCGAGCACGAGTAACTAGTGGCGCTTGGGAGGTAGTGCACAATCGTGACGTGCTTGACCTGCGACGAGCCGAGCCCGGCCCGGAACTGCACAGCAGGCTCAACGTTGGTCGACCGCGCCGAGAGCCGGAGCGAGTAGAGGAATGTTCCCAGCGCACTCGACGTAAACGAGAGCTTGCCGGTCGCCTGCCCAACCTTGAGTGGCATGTACGAGAGCATGAACACCGCGTCCGACTGCGGCTCGATGACTGCGCTCGCAGGCTCCACGCTCAGGCCGGAAATCTTGTGGACCGCCGACACGCTCGCCGGTCGCGGCAGTGGATTCGAAATCACCAGCTCGTGCTCCACGCGCTGTCGGATCGGCGTCTCCAGCGCGATGACCTCCAGCGGCGACGGCGGGAGCGAGCGGAACACAAACCGGTAGTACATGTACTCGCCGGTGCTCCTGTTGGTGAACACAATCCTTCCACTCAGCACCTCCTCCTTCAGCGCGTAGTACGAGAACTTGTACTGCCGCGACGCAAGCGCCGGCAGATCGATGTGCTGCAGCCCGTTGAGCGACGCCGTCCGCCGCGGCGACCCGCTCTCGCCGCTCTCGCTGCCGTCGTACTCAAAGCTCACCGCGAACCGCTGCGGGACCGCGAGCCAGTTGGAGATCGTTACCGCCTCTGCCACCTTGACCTTGCACTCGACCTCGCGCTTGAGCTCGCCTGCAGCGTTTGGCGGGCCAGCAATGCCCACCAGTGGGAAGAGCAGGCCCGAGCCGTCCGGCAGCGGGAAGAAGACCTCGCCATGGTGCGGTGCCTCGCGGCTCGACATCACCACAGGCTGGTACGTCAGCACGTATGACGCGCTCGAGTTGAGAGGCACAGAAATCGACGACGGCCCGCTCCATGGGCCGGCAGACAGCGCAGGCACAATGCCAACCCAGTCCATGCCCGACTTGTTCGCCAGCGAGATGGTCTTGGTCACGCTCTCGCGAACCGGCGCCTCAAACACGACCGCATGCTGTGGCTCTGGTGGCGGCACACATGCACCCTGCATCGCCACCTCGATCGGCTCCTGACCCTCCACGTTGCATCGGATGCCCTCGAACCGGATTGCGTCCTGCACCACAGGTGGCGCAAAGATGATCGTGCAGTTGACGTCCGTCCCCGGAATGAGGTAGCCCTCGGACGGCTCGATCGAGAATGCACGGCTGGCGCGCCCGAGCTCCCACTTGAACCGCACACCGATGTCGCCGATGTTCTGCAGCGCAAGCACCTTGGTAGTCGACGAGCCCGAGGTCACCGCCCCAAACGCAACCTCGTTGGTGTCGACCTTCACCTCCACGCCCTGACAGCAGCCCGAGACCACCGCCAGCCCGCGCCGAACGCCCGCCACGCTCGCCACAAACTCCTCCTCAAACGTGTGCTGCCGGTCGACCGGTGCGTACGTCATCGAGATCTTACGGATCTGCCGCGGCTTGATGACGAAAACGCCCCCCGGCGAGAAGCTGATATGCCGGCTTGCAAAACGCTCCGAGTTCTCCCTCACATCAACCTTGACTGGAATCGGCGACCGATTGATGAGCGCCACGACCCGCGACGCCGTCGCGCCCTTGTGCAGGACGCCAAACGAGACCATCCGGCTTGTCGCGTCCACAAGCTCCACTCGCGGCGAGACGCCCGAGCCCTCCACCGTCACCGTCACTTGCGAGAGCGTGTTGACCTCAAACACGAGCTCTTCCCGCATCGCCTCCTCACTCCGCGGCGTAAACAGGATCGGGAGCTGCGCAGACTCGCCCGGCGCAAGCACCGTCGGTGGCGCTTGCACCTCCAGGTACTCGGTGTTGTCAAAGAGGCACTCGAACGCGACGTCCTTCACGTCCTCGTTCGTCACCACAAGCACCTTGGTCGGCACCGCAGAGCCGACTCGGTGGAGGACGCACGGGCCAAAGTCGTGGTGGAGGACAGAAAACTTGAGCGCAGGCCGCCGGACCGCGCCCGACACCAGCAGTGGGTACGTCTTGCCGTTAGTCACCTTGCAGTAGACCTTGACGCGCTTGAGCGCAACCTCGGACTCGGCACCAAGCGTCAGCAGGCACTCGGTCCGCGACTCGCGGCCCACAATACCGAGCGCAGGCTCAATCGAGAGCACGCCAGCGTTCTCATACTCGGGCGGGAGCGCCCACTTAAAGTCGAGGTTCGTGCTCCCAGCGTTGACCACCACAAGTTTGCGGCTTGCCCGCTCTGAGATCTGGATCCGCCCAAAGTCCACCATGTTGCCTGCGCCCGGCGCCAGCCGCACCAGCCGCGCATCCTCAGTGCCACTGCCGGAGCTCAGCCCCGCGCCCGACCGCTCCAGGAAGAGCTCGTCGCGGATGGCGTAGCCCTCGCCCTTGACGTTGAGCACCAGCCGCGTCGGCTTGTGTTGCACCTTGCACACCATGTTGAAGTTGAACGCCTTCTCTACTGGCGCGCAGAACGAGACAACCAGCGGCACCCGCTTGCCGCCGCCTACCGCCCCCGACATCGGGCTCACGTCCACTACCCGCCCATCCACACAGGTAAACGACGAGGCGTCAAAGGCAAACCGGTACTCGCCCTCGGTCTCGTTGACAAGCTCAATCTCGGCGCTCGCTGTGTGGCCCACCAGCGACTCCTTAAAGTTGATAAAGGTTTTCGAGAGGAATACCTCTGGCTCCTTGGTCCGTCCAAGGAGGAGGAACGGAATGACAATGCCCTGCTCGGCAATCTCAAACTCCCAGAACGACTCGCGGAGCTCAAGATCCTGCGAGACAAACTCAAAGGCCACCTCGTACTTGCGGCCCGACACAACCAGGCCCTCCTCGGTGAGGCAACGGAACGGCGACCGCGTCGGATCCGAGTCGACACACTTCCACTTGAAGCTGTACGACACGTTCGTCGGGTTAACAACCATAAACTTGTGCACCACCCGGACCCGCACGCCCACAGACGTGATCTCGATGACCCGCGTAGCAGGATCGAGCGGTCCCACCATCCCACCAGGCCCGGGAAGGTCCGGCAGCCGCTCGCCAGAGCTCAGGTACTTGCACACCGGCAGCTCGAGGTGGCAGACCGGCCGCTTGGCGCTCGCCATGATCGGAATCTCCGGCTCGTCTTGCGACGCGTCGAGCCCAGGAATCGTCGCCAGCAGGTATCGATCAAAGTTCTTGACCTCGTCCGGTGCAAAGGTCACCATGACATCGATGGACTCGCCCGGCCCGAGACTCCCGCTGGCAGGCTCCACCGCAAAGTCGCCCGACACGTCCTCCACCCCATCGCCGTACACCACCATCCACTCGTAGGCAAACGCCGTCGTTGACTGCGATGTAAACTTAAAGTGAACCGACCGCGACTCGAACATGTACGTCTCGGCAAAGACAATCGACTCGACGTCGAGCGAGTACTTGGCCGTGTCAGCAGAGCCCGAGACGTAGAGCGGGAGTGCGAGCGACGGCGCAAAGCCCATCGCCGCCTCGCTCTCGTCCACGACCTCCACCTCGTCGTACTCGGGCTCGCTCACGGAAACCTTCATCCGCCGCCGCGTCACAGCGCCCGCAGGCAGCTTGCGCGCAAGCGAGTCCGACACCACCTCGTTTGTCTCGTTGACAACGTTAACAAACTTGGTCACAGACGCCGTTGCGTCCCAGTGCCCGCGGCTCCCATCGCGCCGCACAATCATCGTCGTCATGCACGACGCCGCCAGCGACTCAAAGCTCAGCGGGTACGGCGCCCGATAGGTGAGCGAGACTTGGGCCATGGCCTGCGACGGCACATGCCCGATGCGCGGCGAGAACGAAAACAGCGCCGACGAGTACTCGTCGAGCTCGCGCTGACGCGCCTCCAGCGCCTCGCGCACCTCGACAAGCTCCTCCTCGGCCTCGCGCGCAGAGCTGGAGCCCTCGCCAGAATCGGAGCCGCCCGACACGTTGGCAGACGCCGCCGCCCGGAGCTCGCGCACCCGATCGCCCAGCTCCTCTACAGCCGCCCGCGCCTCGGCAACCCGGATGGCAATGTCTTCCGGCACCGCCGGAGGCGACCACACGTACCGCATCCAGTGCGACGAGTGGTTACAGAGGCCAAACGTGACCGTCCGCGCCACGCCAACAGGCCCGGACCCGACGTCGAGCACGTTCTCCGTATTGCCTGGCAGCGCGTCAAACGACGCCATCGCCGCGTAGCCCTCGCCGCTCAGCCGGAACACAGTCGTCTCGAACGAGTTGTCCGCCACAGACAGCACAACTTCGCCTGTGAACGTCGCCGACTCTTGTGGCGTAAAGGTGACGTCAAACCGTGCCTCCTCACCGGCGGCAAGCTCGACTGTTGCCCCGTTCGACTCGACCACAAAAGACGGACTCGAGCTCCGCTTCATATCCACACGCACGCTCGCGTTGAGCACGCCGGCATTCGCCACCACAATGCTCAGCACCCGCGACCGCATCAGCATGCACCGCCCAAAGCCGAGCTCGAGCTCGCCGCGCTCATTGCGGCTGGTGGGCGACTTGACCGAGATCCGCGGCATCGTGCCCTCACCCACCAGGTTGAACCGGAAGACTGACGACTCGGGCGCAATCTCGCCATTCTCCACCCGTGCCGTAAAGAGGCCGCGGTACTCGAGGAGCGCAGCAGGGTTGAACAGCATCGTCACAAACCGGTACTCGTGGTTCGGAATGTGAACCCGCCGAGGCTGAACGTCAAAGACAGGCCGCTCGCCCACAACCTCGCCCTCGTCGCCACCGTCACCGGCCTCGGCCTCATCGTCGCCATCTCCACCACCACCGCCGCCACCACGACTCGATGTTCCCTCGGTCGTCCGCGACGACTTTTTCCCTTGCCGCCGCTTGGACGAGCTGCCCGATGTCGACGCGTTGCCCGACGCCGAGCCCGACCGCCGCAGTGATGACGTGTTGGCCGACGTCGAGCCCGAGCCTGACGAGAACGGGAGCTCGGTGGAGAAGACCACGTCGCACGCAACCTTGTTTGGGTTCGAGATCTTGATCTGTGCCACAGCCTGCCGGCCCACAATGAGTGCACCAAACGAAAACGTGTTCGACATCTTGGCGTAGACGTTGGCTGCACCGGCCGCGCTCCGCGCCACCGACTCGAGCTGCGCCACCACCATCTGCTCTTCGAAAATGAGGTCGTAGTCCCAGGTGTTGATGCCCGGCACACACGATTCGCCGGTCAGCTCGTACGGGATCGGGACCGGGACGCCCACCGCAAGACTGGCCAGTGCGCCCGCGCTCGACGACGCCGAGAGCGCCACAGCACCGGTCTCGGCAACCGGAGCCACTGTCAGCGGCGGTGGCGCGTCGGCAAGGTCCGGAATGAACAAGCCGAGCTTTTCGGTACAAAACTTAGAGGCCTCGGCGTAAAAATGAACCGTGATCACCGCCTTGCCGCCCGGCTCGATGAGCCCGGTGTACGGCGCGAGCTCAAAGGCGCCGACGTTGAGCGCGTCCTTGGCCCCAGTTCGCACGAGAGCCACCGGCTCGGCCGCCGCACTGGAGCTACCCGCCTTACGCGCCGAGACCGACTTAGACCGCGACCGCCGCGCAGAGCCCTTGGCGCCTGGCCGCGGCGAGATGGCGGCCTCGTGCTCAGCGGCAGCATCGAGAATCGAGTGCGACAACTCGCGATCGTCGCCGCGCCGCTTCTTGCGTCGCCTGCCCGAGTCGCCGCGCTGCGCGCCGGCGCTCTTGCGACCGCCGCGCCGCTTGTCCGAGTAGCTCTCGGCCCGCTCGAGGCCGGCACCGTAGGTGGCGGTGAGGTGGCCAGCGGCAATGGCTGAAAACGCCGCAGCACCTTCAGGATTGCCCATGTCAAAGAAGCAGTACTCAAAGGCAAACGGCCCAGTGTTCCGCAGTTCAAACGACCGCGTCCGCTGGTTGCCATACACCAGCGGGCCAAAGTTGACAACCCGCTCCGGCACAAGGCTATACGCATTGAACCGCGCCGTGGCGGTCACCGTCACCGGGATGGTGGCAATGATCTCGTCGGTTGCGGCCTCGAGGACCTGGCACTTGATGTCAGCCGCACCGGTAAGGGTGAACTCGGCAAACGAGCGGAAGATAAACTCAACCGTCGACGGCTTATCGTTTGGCCCGAGCACGCCCTCAGCCGGCTCGATGCGAATGACGTCGCGGATTTCGTTGGTCTCGAACCGGAACCGGAACTTAATGTCGTGCTTGCCCTTGTTCTTGAGCGTTGCAGAGAGGACTCGCGACTCGTAGACCTTGAGCAGGCCGTAGTCGAGGCAGGCCTCGGTCGTGCCACGCGCAAAGTGCACGTCGATGGCCACGTCGTACGCCTCGCCATCCACCTGCACGTTTTCTGTTTGCAGCGGACCGTAGAGGCCTTCGGCATCGGTCACCTCGAGCTTGAGCGCCTTGTGGATCGTGATCTGCTTCTTGGCCTGGAACCGCGCAAAGACGTCGACGCTCCCACCCGGCGGCACCTCGCCCGAGAGTGGCGCGACCCGGATCTCCGGCAACAGCGCCTGTGCGTTAAGCAGCTGCCACTTGACAGGCAGTGCAGTCGGGTTGCTCAGGGATAGCGTCCGCGAGTCGAGCCGGTGCAGGAGCATCGGCTCAAACTCGAGCGCCTCGGTCGAAAGCTCCAGCCGTGGCTTGACGCCGACGCAGCGGAGCGGAAAGACCGTCGGAATCGGGTTGTCCTTAATGATGGCCACCAGTGTGTCGCGGTACTCTCCGTCGGTCTTGGGGAAGGCCCAGACCGTCACCTCGCGCGACTCGTCGGGCGCAAGCTCAAACGTCGTTGGCTCGACCGCAAACGTGGCCGAGTTGACATCCGACTCGAAGCAGAGCTCGACCTGCGCCACGAGCGCACCCGGGTTGACAAAGGTAAAGACGGCGTGGTGCCGCTTGAGCAGTGCCGCTGTCTGTGCCGCCTCCTGGTCGGGCGTCAGGGCTTGCTCAGCTGCCGCGCTCACCAGCGCCGCGCTCGACGTCCCGCGCGACATGCGCTTCGACTCGTGGTGGTGCGAGCTCGATCCGCCACCGTGCCGCTTCGAATCCGACCGCCGCTCGCGCCGCGAGCTGCCGCTTGTGCCGCTCGCACCGGCCGGCCGTGACTCACGCGACTTGCCAAAGAGAAGAGGGCCAAAGTCAAAGACACCCTCGGTCATGACAAAAGCCGGCAGCTTGGTGAGCATGCTCGCCTCCGAGCCATAGCTGCGGATGCGCGAGGCGAAGACCACTCGCGGGTCGTTTGACACCATCGGATACGACGCCGACGCAAAGCACTCGAGCGGGAACTGGGCGTCGAGACCGAGTATCTCAAACATGAGCGTGTCGAAAAGTTGCCGGGCGTGCCCGACCGGAACCGCACAAGAAGCTCTTGCGTCTCGCCCGGCTTGAGCACGTACCGGTACGGGTGCTGCGACTTGAGCCGCAGCGCAGCGAGCTCGCCCTCGACCTCGATAAATGCAGCTTCGTCCGACTTTGCAGGCTCGGCAGGCTCGGCACTGGCGTTTCCGCCACTGCTCCCACCGCGGCGCCCGCCCTTGCCGCCCTTCTTCCGCGACCGCGACTCGGCCTTGGCTGCTGCCGCCGACGCCTTTCTTGCCCGCTCCTCCGCCACAATGTCCGAGTACGACTCGGGCAGGTAGATCTCGAGGTTGGTGCATGGCTCACGCGGCAGTCGCTCTGCCGGCCGCTCCAGCACTTGCAGCAGCTCGTCGTCGGGCACCTCGAGCGTGATCGGCTCGGGCTCGGGAATCTTGTCAGGCGGTGGGAGCGAGGCCTCGACCGCGGCAGCCACAACGAGAGGCTTGTGGCTGGCGTCAATGGTGGCAACCGGCTCGGCAAGCGGCGGCTTGGGCGGTGGCTTGGGTGGGGCGGCGGCGGCCGCAAGTCCGCGCTCCTGAACTGACGACTCGGTGAGCGGGACTGGCGCGACCGAGCCACGCCGCTTAGAGCGTGAGCCCCGCTTCGACCGGCGCGTCCGAGACGAGGTCGACGCAGCGTTGGACGCTGTCGAGACGCCGAGCGCGTCAGCTGCACCGCCGCTACCGGAAAGCAGCGCGGCTTCATGGCTGCCGTCGGCTGCCGACTCACCAGCCCCGGCTCCGGCAGCCTCGGCCGGTCCGACGTTGAGGAGTGCGTACATGGACGCGAGGTCTGCGGCCGCGTTGGTCCATGCAACGAGGCCGACATGCCAGGGCGGCGGGGCGAGCGATGACGGCTCACCATCAACGCCGACAAGCCCGTCGCCAAAGAAGGTGTCTGGCAGGTTGAGAAGCGCGGCAATGGCTGGGGTTACGTCGGCGACAGTGAGACCGTCGAGATCGAGCGAGGCGAGGTCGACGGCGTCGCCGTCGCCGGCCTGCGACGCTGCCACCGACTCATCGTCCTTGATTGTCCGCTTTGAGCGCGACGACGACTTGCGCAGCTTCTTGCGAGTCTTTGCAACCGCAGCGTCGAGGATAGCCTGCTGCTCTTCGACGCGGGCGGCGACGACTGCGCGCTCAGCCTCTTTGCGGGCCTCGTCGGCCTGGCGCTTGCGGAAGAGCGAGCGCTTGTACTCGGCCCACTCGGCGTCGTAGGCAGCGCGCTGCTCATCGTCGAGCGCGTCGTACGCCTCTTCGCTCATGGTCATAAACTTCGGCGGCGGGGTCGGCGGCGGCGGGGTCGGCGGTCTGGTCAGCGCCACGTACCGCTCGTCGACAGTGTCAGGTGAGACCTCCAACATGCGCACAAAGAGGTCGTGACCAGGCATCGAGTTGAAGGCCGACTTGACGGCGGCGTGCGCTGGGAGTAGGCCACCAGCGAGTGACACAAAGTCGGCGTTGAGCGAGTCGAGGAGGAATCCGTTGCACGGTACGGCAGTGACGAGAACCTTGACTAGCGCACCAAGGAGCGGCGCCGGCAGGTACAGCCGCGGTTCGACGTCGTCAGCGTCGCCGACATCCGGCGACGCGGCGCCGTCGTCGCGGTGGCTCGACCGGCCCTTGCCGGAGACCGAAGCGTTGGAGCGATGGCGGCGGATGGCGGCGGCCTTGTCCGCGGACGCCGCCTCGGCCGAGGCAGCAAGGAACTCGCGGACAGTGGCGCACACCACCTCGGGGGCGAGGTTGAACCAATCAATGCCATCGTCAACGCCTTTGCTGCGCTTGCCAGCACCACGCTTTTTGGCGGCGCCAACCCCAGTGGTCGCCGACGCCGCCGCTAAGGAGCTCGGATCGTCACCGGCCTCGCCTTGGCGATGCTTCCGCCGCTTGTGACGGGAGACCGACGCCGGCGCCCGCGATTCGGCCACTGCCGCGTTGACAATCGGCATCGAGAGCGCAGACTCGACCGGCGCCTCGCGCATCAGCGCGCGCAGCTTGGCGAGAATGGCTGGGGCACCGATGACAGGTGCCGCGTCCTCCAGTGGCTCCTCCGGCGCGACCAAAGGCTCGGACTGGCCATCGGCATCCGGGCCGGCGATGTCACTCGTACCCACATCAGCAGCAGGCGGCGCCAGCTCGCCCGACTCGTTGAGCGAAGTCTGGGAGTCGGGCTCGACACCCGAGTCGTTGAGGACCGACTCGGATGCTGGCTCGGACGTAGTGTACTCGACAGCCGGAGGCTCGGCGGGTGCAACGATGTCTTCGGTCAACGGAGCTCTTGGGGAGGGCGCCTGTGCGTCCTGGACCCCATCTGTGAGAAGCTGGGTGAGGAGGTCACCAAGATCGAGCGTGGTCAGGTGCGGGTACCGGGCGGCGAGCGAAGCAGCGACGGTCGACTTGCCGGCAAGCGGTGGGCCGCAGAGAAGGACCGAGTACAGCGGCCTGCCGTCGCGTGGCGCAAGACGCGGATCGATGACCGGTTCAGGGTTGGCGGCGGCGCGGGCCTCGAGCTCGTGCGACGAGATCGGAGTGAACGAGAGGTCCGGGAAGATGGCGGCGCGGGCAATGACAGCGTCGACAGCGAGCTGTGCAGTGTTGGCAGCTTCAACGGCTTCGGCAGCACGGGCCTCGGCCAAAGTAGTGGCGGCGGTGGCCGCGGCATGGGCGGCTTCGAGTGAGGCGATGTGTTGCTCTGCAGCCGAGTCAAAGCCGGCGGCCTCGGCCACGGCCTCGGCCTCAGCGGCCTCGACCGACGACTTGGGCTTATCGCCGAATGCGGGAATGGTGAGGTCCAGGTCTGAGGTGAGCTGGACAGCAGGCGCGGACGGCTCCGGAGCGGCGAGTGCGTCTGCGGCAGCAGGAGCGGCGGCGTCCGCGGGTGCGTGCTTGTGGCTCTTGCGGCGGGAACGCCGACCTGAGCCCTTGCGACGCGACTTGCCGGAGCGCGAGCGGCCCGACTGCGAGGTCTCCGACTCTACGTGGGAGAGTGTGGCCGACGTGGGTCGGTGCTCGGCGGCGGAGGCTGAGGCTGGATCCTGCGAGGGAGCGACCTCGGACGTTGTGGCCGCGTTTTTGACAATCCTGTCACTGGAGAGGGTGCGCGAGAGGCGGAGCTTGTCGTTGTTGCCCTCGTCGGCAGCAGCCTCGACCCTGGCGGCCTCTAGCGCAGCGAGGGCAGCCTCCTCGGATGCCTTGGCCATGGCAGCGGCGTCAAGTGCGGTCGTGGCGTCGTCAGAGGCAGCCGCCGCGGCGGCCTGTGCGGCCTTGAGCTCATCGAGAAGCGTGAGAAGCTCCTTCGGCACCGGGTCGCCGGGCTCCCGCGGCTGGATGAGCATGGTGTCCGAGTCGTGAGCGTAGCCTGAGACGTAGCGAAGGGCCTCCTCGTGGCGGGCGTAGTCGTTGTCAAGTCAACCGAGTAGACTTCGATGGGCACCTCGTTGGGGTTGGTGATGAAAAACTGCGAGTACACACCCTCTGTGTGCGGCTGGGTGGCCGAAAAGTAGAGCTGCGGCGGCGCAAACTGGAGCTTGAGCATGCGGCCGAGGCCGGAGCAGACAAAGCGGAAGACCTTGCGGTTCATCTTGACACGGACCTTGAAGGCGTGCTTGTAGGCGGCCTCGCTCCGCGGAGAAAAAGTGATGCAGGCGTTGATGCACTCGCCGGGGGCGAGGACGCCCGACTTGGGTGTGATGGCAAAGGCCTCGGCCGAGGCCAGTGCCTCGGACTTGCGCGAGCGAGTGGTGACCGGCTTGATGAACCAGGTGGCCGGGACAGCTTGCGAGTTGGTCAGCTGAACGTACATGCGCTTGACAAAGCCGACGTGGACGTGGCCAAAGTCAAAGTTGGACCGCGAGACCGAGAGCGTGGGCACGGTGAGCGTGGCCTTAAAGTGGAGAGCGAGCGTGGCTCCCGAGTCAAGGACAATGGGCACGATCCGCTCGTACAAGCCCTGCTCAAACTCGACGTCGACGGTGGAAAGCGTGGCGGTGAAGATGACCGAGTCGTGCCCCGGTGCGCCAGGCAGGTTGCGAACCCGCATGGGATCGAGCGAGAGGCCCGAGAGGCGGAGCGACTTTTGGTCGATGATGAGCGAGGCAGGCGGAAAGCCGATGTTGGTGAGCGAGAAGCTGGCGGTCTTGGACGTGCCGAGAACGACGTAGCCAAAGTCGCAGACGTACGAGGCCATGACAAAGGCGTTGCGGGCGCGGCGCATGGCGGCGGCAAGCGCATCCTTGGCCGGCGGCGCGAGGTCTCCCGGGTTGAGGGCGGCGGCGGTCTCGGCGAGCGAACCGGTCGATGAGGTCTTGAGCGCGCCAAGGGCGAGACGCGCGACGAGGCAGAGCGTCCGCCGCTCGACCTGGAGCCTGTCCATTTCGGCGTCGACGCCCCAGACCGGCTTGATGGCTGTCGGATCGACAAGGGCCGACTGGCTGGCCTCGTCCTGCTCGCCGTTGGCGCTCTTGACGTCATCCTCGGACGACTCGGAGGCCGACGAGGGACGGGGATGCTGAGGGTAGAACGCGATGGCCGGGCCGGAGACAGTCTCGGCATAGGCGCGAAGCTCGGCCTCGCCGGGCCCCAGCATCCGCGGCAGCGAGGTGATCATGTGCGGGAAGACGCCCGAGCCTGTGATGGTGACCTGCTGCGGGGCAAAGTGGGCGACGATGACGCGGAAGCTCCCGCAAGACCGGCGTGGGAGGAGCGGGCTGTAGGTGACGCGGATGGTGCGGGTCTCGTTCGGAGCGAGAACGCCCGAGAGCGGGGCGAGGACAGCTGCGGGCGGGACAAGAGCCTTGAGCAGGGCTGGCGAAAAGGCGTCGAGGCCCGGCTCGGCCTCGCCGGCCTCGGAGGCGAGGCCGTTGACGGAGCCGACCTCGGACTCGATGATGGGGAGGGTCTTATGGGCCGGTGGCGCAGTGGGTGGCGGGAGTGCGGCCTCGATGTGGTGAGGGAGGCCGAGCGGGAGCTCTGTCGAGTCGATGAGCTCGGGCAGGCGCTCAAAGGCAAACTCGACCGGGACCTGGCCGTGGTTGGTCAGGCTCAGGGTCCTCGTCCGCGGCTTACCGAGCAGCGTCCGACCAAACTCGAGGGTGGTGGGGAAGAGGGTAAAGTCGATGGAGGAGGCACGGCCGGCGAGTGTGAGCTCGACGGTCGGCCCGCCGAGGACGGTGCAGACGGCAGTGGCAAAGGCTGCGGCGTGGGCGTGGCCGTAGAAAATGACCTCGATGGTGGTGGTGGCGCCCGGAGGCACTGTGCCGCGGAGCGGGAGTAGGTCAAAGGCTTCGCGGGCGGGCGGAGCGCGCGAGTCAAGCGAGTCGTCGAGCGAGTCTCCGGTGTCGAGGCCCGACGCGGCTAGCGGGGCGTCGTCGTTAATGAGCATCCACGAGAACGAGGCCGGCAAGTCCGAGGTGTTGGTGAGCGTCACATACTTTTTGGCCTGTGTCTCGTTGAGGATGCAGCCAAAGTCAAGGGCGTGAGTGTCGAGGTTGAGGGTGGGGAAGTTGACGACGCCACGGAGCTTGAGGGTGTCACGGCGCGGGTGATCGCGGTAGACAACAATGAGCTCGTCATCGAGGGTGTCTGCGCAGTGGTTGGAGGCGTAGTCGGGATTAAAGCGCACGGTGAGGCGAGCAGACTGGCCGGGCTGTAGCGCGAGGTCTTCGTCCGAAACGGCAAAGGCGCCAAAGACCTTGATCTGGGCATCCAGCGCGAGCGGCGAGACGTTGGTGATGGTGAGGTCTTGGGTGAGGTGCGGGATGTCGTCGTTGTGGGCGACGTCGTGCATGTAGACAAACTCGAGGAGCGGGGGTAGAAGGCGACTTGCGGGATGACAAACGAGGCCGAGATGGGAGCATCGACAACGACGATGGCCTTGCGCTCGACGGTGGCCACGCAGCGGAGCTTGTCGACGACGTCGCGCGGGGCAGCCGAGTTGCCGCTGAGGATAAGGGTGTACTCCTCGCCAGGCTCGAGCGAGAACTTTGTCTCTGAGAGGGAGAAGGCGCCCGATGCCTCGACGGGGGCGTTGCCAGCGCGGCCGCGCTTGTCGCCGAGCGACCAGGAGAGGGTCTGGCGACGGTAGCCGTCGTTGCGGAGGTGGAAGACTTGCGAGCAGGGCTTGTGTGTGGGGACCTTGCCAAAGTCGACACGCTCAAGCGAGACGTCAGCGGTGATGGTGGAGCCAAAGCCTGCGGCCTTGCAGGGGACGCGAATGGTGTCGCCTTCGCCGTCGTTGACGGTGAGGATGAGCTCGTCGGAGAAGGGGAGGACGTCGTCGAGGCGAGCCGTGATGACGAGGTCGAAGGTCTTGCGCGCCGGGATGGTGTAGGTGACGACGTCGACGGAGAAGACCTGGTGCTGGCGGCGGAATGCGGCCGAGATCGAGGCCGGGATGAGCGAGTCGTTGGCGAGGGTGAGGGTGAGCGGGACGTCTGTGAGGACCTTGACCTTGCCCCAGTTGAGGGTGTTGACCGATGGGACGAGGACCGGGCCTTTGCAGGTGGCGCGGAGCGAAACTTCGAGCGGGGGAGCATTTGAGCCGAGGATGCGGATGTAGACCGGCATGTTGACATCGCCGAGCTTGTTGGCGACGAGGGCGATGGGGACCTGAAACTCGGAAAACTGCTCGATGATGCCCTTTGCGCGCGGCGAGGAGTAGGATGCGGCGGCGCGGGCGGAGGGAGCCTGCGGAATGATCTCATACTTTGCGGGCGTGTCGGACTCGTTGATGAGGGTGACGGGCGCCGAGTACTCGTGGCGGATAAAGACTTCGCCAAAGTCGACGAGCGGGGTGGCGAGCTCGATGGCCGGGACACGGCATGTTGCAGAGACTGGGATGGAGAGAACCGAGGTTCCGACGCCCTCTACGTCGACTTGGAGGGCTGAGGAGACGCGGGCGACGGTGGCCGGCATAAAGTCGACCTGAACCTGTGCCGACGCCTTGGGCGCAATGGTGCCATGTGACGGGATGACGTCAAACTCGCGGTCGAGGAAGTTGCCGTCGGCCTCCATGTGCAGCTTGTAGTGCATGGGAATTTCAGAGGTGTTGTAGAGCGAGAAATGGCGGGTCTCGAGGAAGCCGTACGAGACCTGGCCAAAGGCGAGGGCGTCGACGTCGGCGTGGAAGGTCGGCCCGATGACGACACCACGGAACGAGACAAACGGATGCGAAGAGGCACCTTCAAGGACGCAGTAGATGCGCTGCGAGAAGGAGCCGATGACCGGCGGGACAAAGGTGACCAGGATCTCGACCGAGCCGTCGACTGGGAGCGTCCCGGTCTCGGGCTCAAAGGTAAATGCCCTGGCACACGGCCCGGTCTCGGGGTGAAGGGCAAAGTCTGCGGGGATCTCGCCGACGTTTTCGAGGACGACGGTGGTGCAGATGGGCGCCGAGATGAAGACCTGCTCAAAGTCGTGGTAGTCGCGGACAAATGCGGCGGTGGGGCCGAGGCCGTCACCCTGGAGCTCGAGCGGGAGGCGAGCTTCGCGGCCGCCGAGCTCGACGTAGGCAAGGGCAGCGACAGGCCCAGCCATAGCGGGCGAAAAGGTGACGGTGACCTCAACCTGCGAGTCGGGCCAGACCTTGCCGGAGAGCGGGGCGATGGAGAAAATGCGGTCTTCAAAGAGGAGCGGGTCGGTGGTGAGCTGCGTGAGCTTGGTCTTGAACTCGCGGTCGGTGAGGGCAGCGCCGAGTGAGGGCAAGCTCGACGGACCGGGCGCTGAGTGGGGGTTGGCGTCGGCTGCATGTGACTGCGACGAGGCGAGGTCGAGGTTGGCGTGGAGTCGTGCCTGAGCCTCGTCATGCTCGGAAGCAAAAGCCTTAAAGGCAAACGGAGCTACCACCGACGATCGGTTGATGATCTTAAAGGTGGAGAACGAGCGGAGCGAGATAAAGGTCGGGTCGAGGACGACCTGCGACTTTTCGAGGCGAACGTTGACTTCGAGGGCCTCGCCGGAGAGGGCGATGCCGACCGAGTCGCCGGACTCGTAGTCGATGCGGAGAAAGCCAGACTTGCGGCCGACGGTAGAGGGCGCAAAGGCGACGACAAACTGGAGCTGGTCGTCGACCGGGACAACGCCGTCCGAGGGCGAGACGCGGAACGGGCCGTCAACACTGGCGGCAAAGCGGGCTGGTGCGTTGCCGACGTTGCGGACAAGGACCGGGCGGTCGGTGATGTGGCGGACCGGGGACGGGTCAAAGGCGATGGCGTCGGGAAAGTCGAGAATGCCGCGGGCGCCGAAAGCGGCGACCGGCACGACAAACTTCTCGCGCTCGGTGACGACGACAAGGTCGAGGGCGTAGTCGACGTTGAGCTCTGCGGTGAAGACGATGCGGAAGACGACCTCCATGCCCGGGGCGACCTTGCCCTTGGACTGGACCGAGTGTGTGCCAGCGACCGAGGTTGCCGGATCGCCCTCGACCTTGAAGAACGGGACGTCCGAGTTGAGGACCTTGACCTTGCGGGCAACGCGGTCGTTGTTGCGGAGGCGGAGGCGCCCCTCGACCGGAACCAGCGGTGTGTATTGCTGGAAGATGATGGAGCCCGGGAGCGGCGAGAAGAGCGGGGTATCGATGTCCACATGGGTTACCGCCTGAGCTGACACATCCGCCACGTTGAGCCACTCGATGATGCGCGGGGCGGGTGGTCCGCCGCAGCCGTTGCCTCGTCCGACTCGAGCTCAAATTGCGCCCGAGCCTGCGACGGTGTCGGAAGGTCAAGCGGCAGACCCTGCAGATTATGAGTAGCATCCAGAGTTGAACCTGCCGCGGTTCTTGCTGTCCCCGCAGCTGTTGTGGTGTGAGGGGCAGGACGTCTGCCCTGGGCCGCCACCCGGCGTGAGAGCGACATGCGGGGTGGAGGGGGGAGGGTGGGGGGGGGGGGGAAGAGGAGGGAGGAAGGGGGAGAGGGAGATGGGGGTAGGGGTGAGAGTGTGGAGTGTGAAGTGTGGAGTGTGGAGTGTGGAGTGGAGTGGTGGGCGGGAAAGTGGGTGGTTGGTGTGGTGTAGGGGGAGGGAGGGGGTGTGTGGGAGAGAGGGCGGGTGTTTTGCGCGCGTTGGGGCGTGGCCGGTGAGGATTGGTCGTTGGCGGATTTTATTGTTGGGGTTGTGGTCTGATTAATCGTTGGGTTTGTTGTAGGGGGTTATCGTGTGTGGTGTGTGGTGTGTGTGATTAATCGTTGGGTTTGTTGTTGGGGGTTATCGTGTGTGGTGTGTGGTATGTGTGATTAATCGTTGGGTTTGTTGTTGGGGTTATCGTATGTGGTGTGTGTGATTAATCGTTGGGTTTGTTGTTGGGGCAAGCGGCGGACGGCACACCCTTCCTCAAACTATGCCGTGGAAGCAAGTGACCAACCGCCGGGGGAGGGGAGGGGTGGGAGGGGGGAGGGGTGTATGTGTGTGTGTGTGTAACACCGCACGCCAGGAGGCAGACAGGGACACGGAAGGAGGGACGAGAAGGTACAGGGCTGCTTACAGACAGAACACGCAAGGAGGGGACGGAGGGAGAGGCCATGGCATCACCGTCGCCGTCACACCCGTCATCGTCGCACCCGCCATCGCCGTCATCGTCTCACGTGCAAGTCCACCCACCGCCGAACCATCCAAGCATAGCTGAGTCGCTCTATCTTCCGCGCCCGCTGACAGAGCATGTTCTGGAGCGAGTCTTTGCCATGGCTGGCGGTGTGTATTTGGTTGAGGTCGCCTCGCGCGCGGCTCATGTTCCGAACGATCAGGGCGTCTTTGCATCGCTTCCAAAGCATGTCGACGCCGTGCTTGTAGCCGGTGTGCTCGCGGATACGACACAGACACCGGCCTCGGGCACATCGAGCTCGTTCTTCCCCATGTCTGATGATTCGCCTGCGGCGTCGCCGCTGCCGTCGTCAGCATCGGCATCGTCGATCAGATCGTCGCCGTCAGACTCGGCTCTGGCGGGCATCCATCGCCGGCCGTCGTCGTCGCCACTCTACGCAGAGTACATTCCGCCGATCTTTGAAGACTCGCCGGAAAATGCGAGCAGTGGGCAGGCGGCGAGTGAGCTCCCGCTGGCGCGGCCGCTTGAGTTTGGACTGCCTGGGCACGACGGAAGCGACGACGCGGATGACGACGACGACGACTTTGTGCTCATCGACTCGGAGTTTGAGGTCGATGCCGGCGAGCTGGTTGCGGCCGAGAGTTCGCCGTCGACCGAGGCAGCGCGTGCGGCAGCGCGTGCGGCGGCGAGCGGGGCTGTGACGGCCGCGCGGGCTGCGGGTGGCATGCTGTCGGCGGCAGGCGAGTGGATGACAACCATGTACAGCTCGGCGGTGGCACCGGCTGTGGCGTCGTCAGTCTCGTCGTCGTCAGCAGTGGTGGCGGCGGCGTACGAAGCGGTGCGCAACCCGTTTACTGGGGCGTACACGGCGAACGAGAAGCGGCAGATGGCCGGAGTGCTCTCGCTCTACGCCGAGCACGTGCTCGGGCCGAGCAGCGGGGCAGCGGGAGCGAAGAGTTTCCGCTCTGGCTGCGGATGGACGCCTCGTTTGACCACCCGCACTTTCGTGGTGTCAAGGCCGGCGACGTGCGTAAGGCCGCGTGGATCAAGCGGATGGGCTCTTCGCTACTCCGGCCGGTGGCAGAAGAGTTTGTCACGCTCATCTGCGCGTACCAGGAAGAGCGGCTGGCGCGAGTGACCGGCTCGGGCTACCCAGACGACCCGACCCACTGCGTGCTGACCGAACTGAAGGCCTGGGCACGCGACTCGCTCTCGCACATGGCGCCAGGCGATGAGACGCACCAGGTGCTCAGGGCTCGGACCAGATACCTCAACGGACTGCTCGAGTCACGGCTCTTCCCGCCAGGCCGGACGTCGCGGACGTCGATGGCGCAGCTCCTGCTCTCGCTTGTCTCGCTGCTCGAGGAGCGTGTGCTGCCTGTGCTTGAGGCGCACGCGGCCAAGGCGGCGGCCCGCGAGCACCTGACCGCGCTTGGGCGGCACGCGTCGGCCTTTCTCCACCGGCTTGTTCTCTACCTGTTCTACATTGTGCGCGACACGCCGGCGCCGCGCAACGTGGCGGTCGCACACCTGCTAGGCGCCGTGGAGGCGCCAGCGGAACTGGCAGCTGCCCTCAGCACGGCGTCGGGCGAGGCGCTTGCGCTGCTCCTCGCCGCGCCGCTTGATCGACTCGGGGAAGGTTCCGTCACAGTTCCACGGCAGACGCTGCTCGCCGCGACGGCCGGGCGGGGTGGAAGAGGCGCGGACGTGCTGGCCACATCGACGCTCACGCCCGGCGGTGACACGTCGGCGCTCGGCCGGATGCCTGTGCTCGGCGACTCGCCGGCAAGCTCGTCGTCAGACTCGCTGTCGTCGGCGCTGGCGCTTGCGGCGGCGTCCGAGGTTTTGGCGCTCCCGGCACGGACGTCGCCGACCGAGTTTGTGGCGACGTGCTCGGCGCGGCACGCGGCACAGGCCGGCATCGAGCTCGGCGTGGCGCACCCGTTTCGTGAGGACGCGGTCATGCACGCGCTTGCCTTTGTCCACGTCACCGCGCAAGAGTTAGCGCTCCTCGCGCATCTCTTTGCGCGGGCACAGGCACTGACTGGAGCCGGCGGCGAGCTGCTGCTCTACGGCCTCGCGCGTGACCAGCTCGAGCGGCTGCTCGACGCCGCGCTGCAGCTGGTCGCGGCGATGGGCGTGCATCTCGAGACGCTCAACACTCACACTCGGGCATACTCGCGGCGGATGGTCCGCGAGCGGATCAGTGACAAGGCGTCGCTTGCGTGGCGGCAAAACTACGACGAGGTTGCCCACGTCCGGCCGCTCCTCCAGTCGTCGCTCGATTCGTTTGCTGATGTGGTGGGCACTATGCGCGCTGCGCTCGCTAGCTACAACCTCAGCAGTCAGCTGTCACGGGCGCAGTCGGCGGCGGCGGCGTTTGTGGCCCAGGCCGAGTCGTTTGTCCACGACACGTCGGTCCTCATCGAATCGGCGGTGTCACCGATGTAGCCTACCTGCGGCGAGAACTACTTGCTCATGACGTACTCGGCGTCGCCGTGCTTGGACACGCCGCCGCGGGCGTGGGCAACAAGCCGATAGCCGGTGAGGATGGCAAACTGCTCGAGAGCGTCTGTGATGGAAAAGGCGCCGCGGGCGTGGCTGATGCTGAACTTGATGTTGGGCGTGTCACGAGCGGTTTCTGCGTTGACTCTTGCAGTGTCCGGGTGGTCCTTGAGCCAACGGAGGAAGCGGGCGGCGAGCTGCTTGTCGCCAAAGCCGTGGGCGAGGTGGACGGTGATCGTGAGCGTCTTGGCCTTGGCGGTGGCGTACACGGTGAGATACTTGGCGGCCGGGACAAGGATCGACGCGGCCGGGCGGGCGAGCAGCAGCTCGCGGACGGCGTGAACGCCCGCGCGGTTTTTCTTGCCGGCCACCACCGCAGACTTGGCCACGTACTCGAACGAGACCAGCCGCCATCCGCCGAGCTTGTTCATCAGCTCCAGAAAGCCCATGGCCGAGAACCACTCGAGCGAATATTCGACGATGCCGCCCGAGTACATCTTGGACTTGGCCGTCCAGTCGTTTTTCTGCAGTGTCACCATAAACTCCTCCTCCGATCCGTGGAACCTGAACGCCACCTCGGGCTTGAACTGGATCTTGGTTCGGCTCTGATGAATGACCATGATCTGCAGGTAGGTGACCGACTTGGATGTCGAGGTGGAGCGCACATGTCGGGGCGCCGCAGCTTGCGGCGAGGACGTCACCAGAGTCGGTGCAGGGCGAACCGGTGCGAGCGCTGGCGCCGGGCGAGGAGGCACGAGCGGAGACGGCGGATCTTCAACCTGAGCGCCACACGCTGCAAACATGGCATCGAACTCGGTCACCTCTAGCTCATCCGGGACCCATTCTCGCACGCAATCCGATGACGCTGTCGACGACTCCGACGCATCGGATCCCGAGCTGGATCTCACCGAAGCGGCCCGCTGCGGAGTAGCGCCAGTGCGCGATGGCGGAGGAGATGCGGAGGATGAGGACGAGGAGGTCGACGAGGATGAAGAAACATGTGGGCGGTGCTCGGGGCGAGGAGGCGCCGGACAATGAGGCGTCTTCCCAGCGATGGCGGGCGTGGCGGGTGTGGCGGCGTCCGCGGATGACGACGACGATGAGGACATGGATGGCGAAGATGACTCTGACGACGACCGTGCATCGGCCTTGATCTCAAGCGTGTTTGATGTCGTTTTTCGTTCTGTCGACGAGGACGATGCGGCAGAGGAGTGTGAGCTCGAGCCCGAGTCCGAGTCCGAGCCCGAGTCCGAGTCGTCCGAGAACACGGCATAGCTCGCGGTGAGGGTGTTTGCTTGCGGGGTGGACATGGGTGGCGGTCGTGGTGTGTGGGGGTGGAGGGGGGGGGGGGGGGGGGGGAGGGCGAGAGCGAGCGAGTCAACTCGATGCACGACAAGCTGGTGGCTGGCTGTTTACGATTCGAAGCGAAAGGGGGAGGGGGGGAGGGCAGGTCAGGATGCGGTCAATAGCCACCGGCATCGATGACGGCCTCAAGGGCGTCGACGAGCTCGTCGGCGGTGGGACGGTCGGCGGGCTGAAAGGCAAAGCAGGAGTTGAGGAGCTGGCGGAGGAGGTCAGGCGCACGCTCGGGGACGGGCGGGGCGACGCGCTGGACGGCGAGCTTGGTGGCGATCTGGAAGAGCGAGTCGTCAACAAACGGCGGCTGGCCGGTGAACATGTGGACGACGGTGGTGGCCCACGACCAGATGTCGCAGGCGGCGGTGAGCTTGCCGTCGAGGAAGCACTCGGGCGCAGCGTAGTTGGGCGTGCAGGCTTCGTTGCGGGTGGTGGCTAGCTCGCGCGAGGCGGCGTTGGCCACGACGCGGGCAAGGCCAAAGTCGGCGAGGACAAGGGTGTCGGCGGCGGCATCGACAAGTACGTTTGCCGGCTTGAGGTCGCGGACGACGATGCCCATGTTGTGCAGGTCGCGGAGGCCGAGCGCAATGTCGAGCGCCGCCGGCACAATGTCGACCGTCCGCATGCGGTGGCCTGGGCAGCCGTCGATGACGTCGTGGAGGCACCCGTCGTACAGCTTCATGACAAGGCACATCTTGTCTGGCAGCAGCGCGTAGCCGTAGAGTTTGCAGACATGTGGCGAAGCGTTGGCGAGCGCGAGCGCGTGGATCTCCTTGGTGACCTCGGCCTTGGCAGCTGCGCCGGGTACAGCCATGACCTTGACCGCCACAGCGGCGCCGGCGTAGGTCCCAAAGTGGATGGCGCCGTAGCCGCCCGAGTCGAACGACTCACCGACGACGAGGTCATCCGGCGTTATCTCGGCCGCCCATTCGAGGCTCGGCTGGGCATGCAGTAGCGTGCCGGCCTCGCGTAGCGACCGGACAGTCGCCCGCCGCGCGTGGCTGTACGTCACCAGCGGATCCGAGTCAGAGCCGGAGCCCGAGTCAGACGCGCGGCTCACGGCGGCCACAGGCTCCTCGCCCGACGCCACCCGCGCTTTGACGCGCCGTAGCTTGCGCCGGCGGGACCGCCGCTTCTCGGCGTCGGCGTCGGCGTCGGCGTTGACTGCGCGGCCTGCATCCTTGCTCGGCGCGGCCTCGTCGGCCACAGCACTCGAGCCGGTTCGCGCAGCCTTGCTCTTGCTCTTGCTCTTGCTCCCACGTTTGGCCTTGCGGCGCTTCTTCTTCTTTCGCCGCACATCAGCGCCTCCGAGCGCCTCGGCAATGTGCAACAGACCGAGCTCGTTGGCCAGCACCTGCGGGCTCCACTCATCGCGATAGAAGCCGCCGTCAAAGTCAAAGCCGTGGTACAGCGCCACCTCTCCCGGCGCCAGCACATCGCAGCCGGCTGCCATCAGCGCGCGCACCATCTCGACCTCTCGGCGGAGGACAGCCAGGTGCAGCACGGTGCCCGAGACAAGGTGATCACAGCCAGCTGCAGTTCGACGAGGCCACAAGTATCACCCCTCAGCCGAGATGGTGAGTCTTCCTCCTCTGTCCTCCACCCGCGCCCTCCCGCCTTCCATCCTCACTCCCCATCCGTACCGATGTCCGAGGTCAGATCGAATGCGTAGGGTGCAGCCAGTGGCGCAGCCGTGGCCTCACCCGCAGCCAAGGCTACCACCTCGTCCACACTTCCAGACCGCACAGCAGCTTCAAGAGCCAAAGCAGAGGCCATGGCCAAGTGTGACGTCTGTGCGTGAGCGAGTGGTAGTACGTGCGGTGTGTGCTCTTGAGTCTGTGGCCTCCTTGCTCAAAGTGCGACTCGTGCTGGCCCTGCCAAGGGCTTAGGGCTTGGGGCTTGGGGCTTGGGCGGGGCTTGGGGCGGGGGGCAGCAGGGGGCAGAGAGAGACAGAGAGAGAGAGAGGCAAGGCCTGATCCTCCATTCGTTTGTCTTGCTGCCCTGCCGATACCCCTCGATCCGCCCGATCCACCGTTCCACCCATCTTCCCCCCTCCCCCCCCCCCC